TATCGCCGTGGCGCCCTTGAGACAAATGAAAATCAAACTTTGACAATATTCGTAGAGAAGGAGAGATCAGAAAACTTGAGTTTGACAGCTGAGTGATGGAGATAATGTGCTCTCAGAGAAAGTACAAACATAGAATCCCTCTATCAACTAATATATTAGAAAGAGAAAAACACTGTGTTTTCATACGTCTACGATAAAAAATACAACGTGGGTTGAAGTTATATAATTCTATAAAGAACTTCTATCCATGTCGAATGAATTTTCATTTCAATATCGACAGCTAACATATCAAAACTACGAAGTATGTAATTAACTTTAGTGTAAAGGGTACAATGTCTGAAGTCTTTCAGAGAGTAACAAAGACCCGAATATCGATTTATGCAAAAGCGCAAGAAAATTGTGCGCTTTCAAGCTTGAAATTTAAAAATTAAAAAAAAAGTCCTCGCGATAAGAGTTTGAAATTCTCCGTCGACCGGTGCGAACGATAACCTCCCACGTAACCGACGCTGATAACACGTGAGAACAATAAGACGCTTATCCACGTCGTGTTGAAGATAAGAAGCTCTCCCGATACACGCGCACCTGCTGGAAACTGTATCAAAGCCAACGTGGCACCAGAAGCAAAGCTAGAACAAACAAAGCGATACGGGGGCTGTGCAACCCCCGGAGCTTGTTTCGAAGTAGTATGCAAGGAGAACGAAGAGAGGGAGAGGAGGAGGCGAGGAGATGCATTTGCATCGGCGCAAACACGGAAATCCCAGTGCAACCTGTTTGCCTCGTGTTCAAGTTCGCCCGAACGTAATGGAAACTCCTCTCTTATGGATATCATTTAAATTCGTTGTTTGGAGAAAAATTATTCGATAATATATGTTTGCTTTGTTATTTATGCTTCGATTGTTTCGTCGTTCCGTCGAGTCGTACATTCTCGTTATTCGCACCGCGGCTTCCGACACACCGCTGCGAGCGGCTTTCAGGCGGGCTGCGAAAAATTACCGGTTTTAACATAGTGACTTTGGAATTCGACGGAATATGAAATTCTTGTTTGTGCTTTCACAACGGGACTGTCGGTAAACTTTTGTTAATAAAGCTTCGTTGAATATGCAACTCTTACCATACATTTTTAACGCTGGAATTACCGGCGTAAATGCACACCTGCTTTTAAATTGAAAATAAAGTGCAAAAATGAATAAGTAAATAATGGTACATCAACTGATATTCTTTATCCCGACGAAAACGCAACAAAATTTTTGAATGTAAAATGTGTTAATGGAATTGTCAATTTTTATTAATAAGAAATATGTAAAATTCCTAATATATTTATACAGTGAAATCCAATAACGTGTAATTTTTCAATGGTGGTATCATGTAATGGGTGTTAGGTAATTTTATAAGAGGTATTGATGCGTTACATCGTCCCTGGAAAGCATAAACACCAATTTTCCGGCGAGAGGTAGAAAACGACATCTCGTAACGCGCCAATTCAATTAGTATAACCGGCCGTTCCGATTGCAATCGATGCCCCTAATGGCCCCTAATTAATATTCGCTTTTAATTACGTTCGCACCGTGTATTTGAAACGACCGTTCACATTTCGCCGAGTGTCGAATGTTCTTGCGTTACGTTCACTTTTCCCTGTTTTTGTGCATCGATAAATAACTTACCCTCCATTTACAAACATCGTTTTTGACATTTATTCGTTAGATTATTTCAAATAATTTTCGACTCCGTATATAAAGAGCATATCTACGTGAAATGTATGAAGAGCACGTAGGTATTTGATATATCTGATCGTTCGATTTGCGGAGATGCTTCATTGAAGAGGTAAATGTACGATCAAGATTTCCAAATGGAAATGTAGAGGAAGGAAAAGAGACAGCGAAAAGGACGAGGGTGGTTAAACGAGGTATGGCAGAGGTTTCGCGGGTCCGTTGGAAGGCCAATATAGGAGCTCACACGCTGGAATTGTAGCTCGTTTTGGGTGGTTCACGCCCGAGGAACGGGGTTAATGACAAGCCTTGGTCTCTCGAAAGCGTTTCGAAATCGATTCGTGTTCGATGAGAATGCGCTGATTCGAAACGGAAAACTTCCAACTAACGGAAGGGTTGTGGCCCTTTGACCGCCTGCGAAGAGGGTTGGAAATGGCGTTATTGCGCGACATACAAAGTTCCTCGAGCCGGAATGTTTGTTCTAAAATCATTGATCGACAATCTGATCTAATCAACTCCGCTCAATTAACTATTAATTTATTTTTTTATTCTTCAACCTTTATTCGAGTAGGAAGAAATTAAATAATAAAATAATTAACTAATGAGAGGCACGAGACAGACAGGCAGACGTTCGTTGAAATCGAGTAGAATAATTATTTACCAGCTTTAAAAGGCGAGATACGAATCCTCGATGCAAATTTAAACAGGCCGATTCGGTACACATTAAAAATGCTTGGACAGTGATATTGATTGACGCATCAGGAAAACAAGAAGAGAGGATAGAATAATTCTATTCGCGAAGAACAAGCGTTTCACGCGAGAATAGAATGGAATAATTGCGATGGATCCGTTCGTATACACACTGTCAATTTCGCGGTAATTCGCCGTTGCCGGATGGATAAGTCGATAAATTAAGTTGAATAACGAGCCCCGTGGCAAGGATAATTGTCAATTAGTATTCAACGATTAATCGTTGATACGAGTGCCTCATCGATCGCCCGAAATGAGCTCCTCTCTTTTTTTTTGAATATCCGATACGTCTCCCATCTTCGTTGTTCTTTCGGCGGAAAAACGGCAACAGGAACGCGTGAACCGTGAAATTAACACGCATTTTTACGCGTTTCAATCGGCGATCGCGTTGATGAGTGGAGAAACACCGAGGGTAGTTCGCCGTTAATCGACACCGAGGGTAAAACCCGTTGGAAGCACGCGAGAAGCTGTTAATCTCAAGTTCGGATCCAAAAAGTGATCGATTGTTGCGCGAAACTGACTTGTTACGGTCGCATTGAAAAATTTCACGTAGGTAACTGAAACGCATTATTTTGTTTCGTTATCATTGGTCACTTGAAAATGCCAGTATTTATTTCGACAATTTCACCGTGTTATTTTGCATATTTCTCGGTTGCAGGAAATTTAACTCTTTTTTTCCCTCGTTCAACAGTTTGTCGTCGAGCACTTTATTTAAACAACGAGAATAAATATCACCGAACGAAAAATGTGTACATTTATTCCATGTTTATCTTGTATTTTAGAGCTCAATATCAGTTCCAATTTCCTGTACTTTTAATAACAAATATTTAACATTAAACAAGCTACGATTTTCAGAAGTATATATTCGTTGATAACTCGTTTTACGATCAACGAAGTCCTACTTCCTATTTTTGGTCGGCAAATTTTCGAGCTTGAAACACGTTCACAGTTTAGGAATTTATAATTTTTATCGTCTATATAAATTCGTCCGCAGTTTCACGGAGAAACGTTAAAAAATTATGAGCAAGATATTCAGAAATTGGTCCGGTTTATTATCGAGAAATTCCGCTTCGAGACGATAAAAGTCTCGGTAGAAAATCAACTTCCCAATATACCTGGGTGCAGAGAGAAATCAACGGCGACCCTTGCGGGTCATCGACACTCGGGTGTTTGAACAGTGAAGAATGGAACGTTCGCCGAGAAAACGACCGAGAAGTGGAAACAGTGTAATTATTTTGAAGTACAAAGCGCCTTGACTGCGGTTGTGATTGCTACAAGTAAATTGTTCAATTCAATTTTCATCCCTTCGGGATATCTCGTGCCGATGGTGTCTCGATTCGTCGCGTTCTATGTACATTCCCGTTGCAACTTTATTGTACGGTTACATTGTGTGGAAATTGTTCAAAACTTCTCTTGTTTCCTGGGGTATATCTGTTTGATGTACCCGGTTTAATTATTTGCACAGTTAGCGACAAAATAATAAACTGTTTACCGGTAGACCATCCGTAAATACGTATTTTTAAAATGTTATTCAATGTCGTATCGGTTATATGAAACAAATAAATATTTTCAACTTCGATTCGAACGACAAATATCAAATTTTATATGTCAGGGTTCTTGCCGAATTAAAATATACATAGTTTGAATGATCGCGTTCAAAAAATGAATATGGATCGGACGCGCGCTAATTTATGGCTGTTTACCAAGCTCCTGACACACAGACGCTTCGTTATTTTTGTGAAAACGCGAACATTTTCAACCCACTTCCCCTTTTTTCTTTTGGCAAATATACTCAATAACTTATATCTGGAACTCGCAGACGCGTCATAAATTTTCTTCTGCCTGGATTTCCTCGCTCAATTTTATTCCTAATTCATCTGTTCATAAATCTCTGAAGACCCGTGAAAATACGTCTTTCGAAAGTCGTACGCTAATAAAGAGGTGAACTCGGTTCCTTCTTTTATTTTCTTTTTAATAATCTACAACGTGATTCATGAATACTGCGCAATATTTCAGAATGTGGGTTTATGTATTTACGCTTCCACATACATCACGCTATGCTTCCCGAAATACGCGAATTGAGATAAATATTCAAACTATTAATTCATCTCCCTATATAAGCATAAAATTTTTTCGCAAATACACTTGTTTTATATACATCATAATCTTCATACATAGATAAATTATGCGAAACGTCGCTGCTAGGTCACGATGTCAAAAAGAATGTCATAGGATTTTATATGAAAACAAGTGCAGTTGTAGCATGCAAAATTTTCCTGTACAATTTTATGCACAATGTTGTAGAGTAGTCATTCATGCAGTTAAAAATATATGCACGACAGATGTTCTGTAAAAATTGTTGCTTTTCGTTTCGACTTATGAATAGGTACATCTTGCAAACTCTCTTACATCAATAGTATGTACAAATTGAACATCAAAAATCAACACGTATTCAGTCGCACATTATCATGACACGAGAATGCACTTTCGATAAAAAGGTTAAGCAGTGTCAGCAGAAGATCGTATGTCGAATGATAATCTTACCGGACATGACGACGCGGCAGCGGCGGTGGCACGGGGCTGTGAAAATTTTCCATCATCGAATACGAATCGTGATCGAGCGACTTGTGGTCGAGCGCCTCGAGATGATCGAGCCGGAGCAATTCGGGCTCGCGAGGCGAGTGTAGTTCACAATGAGCGACGTGAAGCAACGGCCTCAGGGACGAACCGCCTTCGCATCGCTGCTGCCGCGAAGGCGGTCTCGCCACCTGTCGTTCTACACCATCCGACGCGTGTTGCTCGTCGCCCCACACTTCAAACTCTCCCGCCGCCGAATAATCGCCGAATCCACCGTTACCCTTCACCGTTGCACCCTTCTTGCGACTATTTTCCAAGAGTCCGGCCCACGAGGAGCCTCGCTCGTCCTTCCTCTCGCAGCGAACCTCCTTCGATTTATCCTTCTCCTCTTTGCGTTTGTATTTCACCAGATATTGCTTCCGCTTGCTGGGCAACGACAACGACAGGCTGCCGCGCAAGCTGGAACGACGGGCC